TTTTTATATATATTTTATATATATTTAAAATATAAATCCTACATTAATATCATGATTGAGGAGGAGCAGTTATCTAAATATTTAGATCACGAAACACAATATGAAGTTTAATATAAAAGTTTTAGAAATTTGATGACCAACAGCATCATAGAGAAAAGAGTGTTATAAAAATTCGCAATATCGTACAACTCATAGTATAACATTTTCTCTTTATTTCACAAGCAATAAAGTAACGTAAAGTAAAGTAAATGATATGTGTCATGCTAAACGCTCATGAGAAGTTAGAGCGAAGCTTATCGCGTGTCATATCGCAATTTGTAATATGTCGTGTTACACGATGCTTGAGATTAATAAGTCAATACGAATTATACGTGTTAATTCATAGTTGCTAATTTAGATTACGAATTCTAACGCACCGTGTCCAAATATCAAAGTTAAATCTTTGCGAACCTAACATATGTAAATCGAAGAAGCATGACATAATTTACTCCGGTCTACTAAAATTTTAATTTTAATACGTAGGTGTAATACATTAATGCGTATTATATCTATCTTAACGAATAATTAAAACCGTGAATTTCTCAAAGTATGATATTCAACCTTATATTGTCACAGCGAGTACGATGATACTTAGAAGGCAATCAATCAATCATACTCATTCATGATGTTGTCGTTTTTTTATGGATTGGTGATATGGACACCACAGAGAATATAGTGTTATACGTTTACATTTTGAGCGATACTTTGGTCGAGCTTATGATGTGTATTCGCCAAGTTAAGATGCGATATAATAGTATCTTTCGATAATATTGGAAACGATAAATATTTTCATTGTGAATTTTACGATAGATGTAATCAGTGCGCGGAGAACCCTGAGAGTGCTTTTATCGTGAGGCGTGTTTAATAAGCGCATTTACTTTGTGTGTTTTGTGCATGTCGAAATTAATTAAAAATAATGCTTTCAACATTGATATTCTGTTGCATATTTTAATTTTTAATATTCGAATATCGTGAGATTAAAATGTTGATTCATTAGATTCGTAAACCGAAACGGATTCCATTCATTAATTTGATCCGTGACTAGTTTTTATTTTTACTTATTAATACGAGCTTTTTATTAATTTGAATATAATTAAAATCACGACTGATTAATTATTTAAATGTGAAATTTTTCATTGTATGAAGAGAATAGAATATATAATATTTGCGTCAGAGTTACGCGGAGGTAAATCATTTTTGCAAATACTTCTCGATGATCCTCTCAAGGACGATCGTTATAAGAAACTTAAGTTAACTCGAACGACTAAAAGTTGTCGTGGCATTTTTTGCATCTCTTTCCAGCATATTAAAGATTTGAAATGTTGATAACTTTTACTTGTATCTCACAAGTAAGTTTGAAAAGGTATCGCGTATCATTAAATCGGGAAAAAAATTTGTGCGAGATTAAAAAATAAGGAAACGCTTTCAAAT